ATATATATTTATTGTTATTTATTAAAGTTTTGTAAAAATATTAATTGTTATTAATCTTGTTAAAAGTTAATACAGTTTAGATATCAAATACGCGTTTAGATATTAATTTGTCTATAGATTATAGATAAATTTTATTAATTTTTTTCTGTTTAGTTGTATTTTTTTGTCTCAAATTAACTTATTCCTTAAAAAATAATATTATTTTGTAAACGTAGTAGAAAATTTATTTACTTCAAGATAAAATATATACATACCTACCCTCTTGATATATGTAGGAATTTTTTAAACAAAATTGATTCAAGTAGTTATATATATTAAATATGCAGATATCCTTATTAATTGACATTAGGTCGAACATCTTTTTGCAAAAATATTATTATTACTAATATAAATTAAAAATAAACATATTCGTATATATTACATAAATGTAAATAATATTTTGTATGGTTAGTTTCCACTAGAATTTTTGAAAAAAGTTCCTGATTATAATACCGACTTAACAGTATTTAGTCTCACATAACAACTCTCAGTTGTAGAGGTGATAGCAGTGATGTTTTAATAATATATTGCACTAATATAAAATTAAAATTGCTCAGGTTCCCAATAAAGCATTTTGCTTCCACTATATCTCAATAAAGCAATGAACAATATTTGTATCTCAATAAAAAATGCAAAATTTTAGTAGTGCTTGTGATATATTATAATTAGTTCTAAGTGTGATACAATATAAACTAAATTTTAGTATTGTTTTGAATATTAAGTTTAATCTCACTTTAAACCACACAAGTTCAACTTCATCATTCTTCGGAAATAGTTTTTAACCTCTCTTAAACACGAGAGGCTAAGTTTTGAAATCTTGTGCTAGAAGATTGCCAGAGCGTTTAAAAAAAAACCCAAGTACAACAACAACAATTTTGAATGGTTAAGCGGTTCATGATTCTGTGAATCGCTTCTGAATCGAACTACGTTTGAATCAAAAATTTTATAACCGAACTTCCTTTGATCCAAAAATCAGATTTCTCAATGTAATTTAATCAAAGCACAATCGTACTATTGATTTTTCAAATTCTGAACCAAAAATAAAGTACAGATACATCGGTTTCAAAATCTAAACAATGGTTTAGATCAGGGCTGTCCAGACTAGATGCCATCGCGGACCAATACTAATCACTGTACAGATTGAGAGGCCGTAAAAATAAATACATACGTTCATAGTTAACGTATGTGTTATATCACGGTTATAATGTTAAAATTAGTTAGTTCATTTATCATTTACTTGGTATACCATAAAAATAAAATGATGTGGTGTTACCATTACACCAAAAGATAATTCGGGTAATTACAGTAGTTTAAAAACATGTGGCCCGCGAGCAGTGCTTTGGACAGTCCTGGTCTAGAGTATCATGCCACTTAAAAAATGTAGGCCCTATCTTGATTTATATATCTATATATATGTAATATTATATACATAGTATTTTCAATAATGCTATATATATAAAATATATAATCAGAAATATTTGATATGAAGGTTGAGAAACGGTGTGACACCAGCGTAATCTTTAGTAACATGTTTAGAAAAAAATACATATTTATAATATCCATTAGTGAAATTAAAATTTATTAAAAATTTATTATTTTTATAGCTAATAATATAAAGAAATATATTTTGTATTTTATTTATTTAATATCAAATTTTAGTTTTTATTAGTGAGTTAGATATATTTATTTACTCTTCAAATACAATGCCATACTAGTAAATGTTAATAAAAAAAACACCTATGAATATATAACTATTAAAAAATAAACAATTATTGTTATTCTAAAATTTAAAATTTAATTATTTTAAATTAATTTACAAAATTATTAAAATCTAAGATAATAATTCGTTAAAATTTATATACAAATATAAAAAACAAAAATATTAATTTAATATTACATGCTGTGTTGGTACAGTACAAAACAAAATTATTTTATAAAAAAATTAGTATATTTAGTGTTTTAATAAATTATTGATTATTTTTGTTTTTGTAGTTTTAATAGAAATATATATAAAATATTATTTTTTGTAATAGTAACGAAAGGGTTAAAATAGTTTTTTAATAATTGTGATAAGAAATATGCTTCAAAATATAAAAATGTTTACAATTTTATTATATAAAATTTGTTGTTATTGGGTTTATTGAAATGTAAATTATATATTACTTGTACTAAAACTGAAATAGCACAAATTCTCTGAAAGTAATTGATATACACGTTTTAGACATATCTTTATATATAAAAATTAATATTAGCTGATAAAATTAGTTGCCATTTTAGGATTTATTTTTATTTAAACCAAAATGTGACTAAACTCTCATGCGTATTGTGTTCCTTCTCTCTATATAACCATTCAAATGATCAGTGCTCATACCTAGTAATTGTGTTTCGTATTAAAAATATTTTTATATATATATAAAATTATAGATGAAAACTTATTTAATTATTATATATAATTTATTTGCAGTTTTTAAGCGTAGTTTTATTGCTTTCAAATTAGTTGGAATATAACAATAGATATTATATAAATTTCACACTGCTTTGTTTTACTTCACACAATTGTAAATACATAGTTATTTTTGTTTTAATGAATATTATATAAAATATTTACAACTATCTGTTTATTATAATATATAGACTAATACATTTCAGATTCTTATTGATATCATAATAACAACTAACGCTTCCTATTGATAGTTTATATTATTTTATATGTGTGATATCAGCAAGTACTGATATCTTTACAGTAAAGAAATAACTACTTATTATCAGTATTTTCATCACTAACTTTTGAATTATATATATTCATATAGTTCAAGAATTTTTTAACATGTAATTACAATTGAATAGAATATATAGACATACCTAACAACCAAGGAATGATTAATAAATATATGATTTTTAGGGGATAGTATGTTGTAGAAAATATATATTTAGGTCGTGTGCGAGTTAGGCTAAGTTGTGTTCTAAATGAGGGAAATTCTAAGTTGTGTCGATAATGTATTGATGTGTCGATACGTGTTGATAAATGGCAAAATGTGTGCAGTGCAAAAAATCCCAAAAAATCTCCCATTTTGTTTAGCATCAACTTAGCCTAACTCGCACACGTCCTTAATGTTCAAAAAAATATAAATCAATTTTTTAAGGGCACTGTTATTGTTTTGGAGATCGTAATCCCTATCCAGCTACGAGTTAAAAATTATTCGAATAACGATTATTATTTAAAGCTTATTATTTTTGCCCAAAAGCTAAAATAATATAATAAAATAAAATAATCTCAGGGATTATTAATATTTTTTTAGATTTAGAAATACCTTGCATATGCTTTTCTTTAAGACCTAATAGTATTAGATGTTCGTTTTAACAGATAACTTATAAATTAGAAACTACGTCCGTGAGAGGAAAAAAGTATTATAATACTCCCTATTATCATTATATATATATATATATATATATATCTAGCTTGAATATAGTTTTTTACCTACGACTAACCAAATCTATACAGAAAAATCTATTTGATATGAATCTAAATATTCATATTTAGATATGATCATCTTTCAACATTCAATGAAGGGTGTTCACTATCTCGCGTAATGATCTCGAGTAACATATTAACAGTGGAAAGCGTCAACAACTAAATTCTTCGTTACTCAAGATCGTGAATATCCCTATGTGATCTTTAGAGGATATTTTTAATTTTAAATTTTTTTAAAATATATTAAAATAAAATTTTTCCCAACAATTAATCTTAATAGTTCAGAACGTTAATTCATTTATTTAATAGATATTAAAATTCTAGAATATTTGAGTTTATGATATAATTTAAATTTACATTTAGAGATCATATCAAATAATTTTGATTAAATTCTCATTGCAGAGAAAGCTTAAGGTGCCTTAAATAGAATTTCCCTAAACACTCTCTAAATCTTTATATAAAAATTCTTATACTCTCAAGTCATATAAAAAATGTCCTTAAATTAATTTTATATTAAAGGTGCGTTCGTGTACAGCTTTTAAGTACTAATTTATACTAACTACAAATAGCACACTATAAATCATTTAGTAAATTAGATTAATACAAGCTAAATTTAGGCAGATTTTGTTTTTTTAACATAATTACTTGTATATACTCGTATTATCTGTACGTCATATATTAGTTATTAGCAAGGAAATAATTTATGCAATATAATATTTATTAAAATTATAAAATAATATAGTGTTTGTTTTTTTCATCCTATATTGTAACATTTGTCCAAATTCGAAAAAAAAATAAATTCAGCAATAATCTGTGTTTATGTTTACTGATTTGAACTTTGTTTTTTTAGCTAATAAATATATGAAATAAAAATTCAATATACATATAGTCAATATATATATATATATTACAATAGATTTATATATATATATATACATAATGTATAGTATATTATGTGTAAAACGCATTTTTGTTGAATTATGTGCCATATGAGAACAAGTAATGTTCGCCTTTAAATTAAAATTTTATTTACTTATTATAGTATTATATATAATAATGATCCCCCCTAATTCATTCGTACCATTTGAAAAGTACTTACAAACGTCATAATGATTTTCTTAATTATTAACATAATTCTTAGGGTTCTAATATTGAAATAGTTATTGCCGTATCGTATATATAAATTAAATGCAATAGCATGTGTGCTCCATTTAAGAACAAATACATGACCACGTAAACTTTTCGTTTTTTATATACACGTATATAAACGTTTGGACTATGTTTCTTTGAATTTACATATCTTATAGTTTGTTTTTGATATGAGTATTAAATTTAAATATTATATTTTAGTAACAATTTTGCTATAATTAGTTATATATAGTTATATAATATATATCTTTCCTCACTATCAAACAACTTCAACGTATTTCGAATTATTTAATTAATTTGTTTTTTATTTTTCTTTCCAAAAATCCTTAAAAAATTATAGCGAAGTCGCGGGTTTGGATTTATAACATTCCAAGAGCCTAACAGTGTTGATAAAGTTTTACAAGTGCCCATACATACCTTGGACGGGAAGAAAATTGATCCAAAACATGCCACACCCAAAAATCGCCCCCGTCAAGCCAATAAAACTAAAAAGATATTTGTTGGTGGCGTCTCACAAGATACTTCCGCTGATGAGGTTAAAGCCTACTTTGGTCAATTTGGTACTGTCGAAGAAACTGTCATGCTGATGGATCAGCAAACAAAACGTCATCGTGGTTTTGGTTTTGTAACTTTTGAAAATGAAGACGTAGTCGATCGTGTATGTGAGATACATTTCCACACAATCAAAAATAAGAAAGTTGAATGCAAAAAGGCTCAACCAAAAGAAGCAGTTACACCAGCACAGCAACTCTTGCAGAAACGCATCATGTTGGGTACTTTGGGTGTGCCATTACCAACAGCGCCTGGACAATTGATAGGCGCACGTACTGCTGCCGGTGTTACAGCTATGAATCCATTGGCCATGTTACAGGCACCAACACAGTTACAATTGCATGCTGCCACTGGTGCTGCAGCTGCTGCGGCACAGCAAGCAGCACTCATCTCACAAAATCCCTTCCAAGTACAAAATGCTGCTGCTGCAGCTGCAGTTGCAGCAAATCCCACTGGCTTCGGCAAATTGCTGACAACATATCCACAAGCAGCATTACATGGCGTCAGGTATGTGTATGTATAAGCTACTTAAATACTATATAGTAGCAGTAGCAAAATTCTTTATAATTATAAAATAAAATCACTCTACCAACCAAAAGCCTCCTAAAAGACCATATAATGAAAAAAATTTCTTCATTTTTGAGCACATATGTATACTTTATAAGAGCCTAAAATAAATGATTTTTTTTGTTTTTGCTATCAAGACATATCAAATAAAGTCACGTCATGGATAGTAGAGACCTCTCTCCTAGATCCCACCCTTCCATATCATAGATATAGCGACACACCTTTCGCAATGGAGCTAACAGCAGTTAGGTCGAATATAAATGTGGATTTGTAGCCCTCCACACTGATGCAGTATCCTCTTCGAGACCAAGGTTGTCAGAAAACAAGGTTCTTAACAGGCATCCGCCTAAGGTCTCCCTGGAAGAACGATGTCTCCCCCGTGCAGCAAGAACTGTTCTTAGCTCAATTGAAATCAGGATATAGCCGAGTACTTAACAGTTACTTGTTTTCATCCAATTTGTGCCCAAATCTCCGTCCAATTGACATTTAGGTCTATCCTGTTGAAGTGGCCAAATTTCTCCGTCTGGACCCAGGTTAATGTTCAAATTATTCCTACCCAGTTCATCCCATCAATCACCTCTAACCACTAGCCACACATATAATCGTCGTTTCCCCTCAATCACCCCAAACCACTACACACCCATGCAATCGTATTGTATATCCATTCCTGTTATCTGCTTACAGGTCCCAGCGGGTGACAACAACAACAACAACAATGAAGTTATAAAAATGAATCCGAAAGGATGCAAAATCATATGATACTTCTTTAATTATTTTGCCATTAAATACGTTTCGTTTTTAAAGTCCCAGAGAAGGAATACAATAAACTGTGCAAATGATGAACTTATTGAGCCTGTTCAAAAGCAATGCACCAAAAATCTTCAAACATATATGTGTTTGTCGAACTTTTTTAAAAACTATCATAAAATGGTAGCGCAGACCCTATAAAGTGTTTCGTCACTGCCGGTACGAGTCATTAACACCATCAGTTCATAAAATATTAAATTTTTGTGTTTAATGAAATTATTTTTTTGGAAAAATATTGGTACCAGTCTTTGCAAAATACATTGAATAATTTATTAGTCCCTGTAAAACACATTGCATATTTTCCGATGCAAATTTAGTACTTTTTGGTTAAGAAACATTGCTTTAAAATATATTGATTCATTAGTTAGTAACTAACCAATATTTTCTGTATTATATACAGAAAGGTCTAGATGTTCTCCAATAAAAATGCGAATTTAAATTTAAAATTTAAGGATTGTTAGAATTTGAATTCTAAGGACGTTAGGCTAAGTTGCGTTCAAATTGAGGGAAATTCTAAGTTGTCTAAGTTCTAAATATCTTCAGAATTGAGTGACGAATATATATGTATGTAACAGTTAAGCTCAAAAAATATTATATAAAAATTAAATATATGTACAAGTTAATTGTTAATACGGCTGCTGAGTACCGACTTCTAATATCGACTGCTTACGATCGACTACTGCTGCCGACTGCCGACTCCCGACTGACTACTACTACTGCCACTACTTGACTGCTTGACCGATTTCTACTGGCTGCTTAGCCGACTTCTTGATGACTGCTTAACCGGATTACATATATATATATATATATAATATATAGTATAATGTCCTTATACTATTATTTTATATCATAATTTAAAATATATTTTCTAAAATTTTTGTTTTTGCAGATATGCACCATATCCCATACCAGCAAGTGCAGCTGCTGCTACCGCTGCTTTAGCAGCACAGGCTCAACAACAACATCAACATCAGCAAGCAACTGCTGCAGCACATCAACAACAACATACTGCCGCCGCGGCAGCTGCTCAACAACACAGTGCAGCAACAAATTCAGCAGCTGCTGCTACACAGGCACACAATGCCGCCTTAGCTGTAGCAGGTCAACAAGGTGCTCCTGCAGCAACACATCCACTGGCAGCAGCTGCTGCTCAACAAGCCGCACTAGTTGGAAATCCATTAAATCCAGCAGCGAATCCATATCAGAGCTATGCTCTAGCTAATGTAGATATGTCCAGCTTTCAAGGTGTGGACTGGAGCTCCATGTATGGCATGGGCATGTACGTTTAAAGTGCTTATTCGATTATGTTTTTAAGCAGCATAACCAAAATACAAAAATAAATTTTATTAATTTAACAAAAAAAAAAATTAAGTAATTATATATATATGTAATCTCTTTAAATATTAAATATGTTTTAAAGCTGCAATTGAGCTTTGCTCTACGTGCGGTTAGATTTCGTATTTATTTCTGTTGCGAAGAAAGAAAAATTTAATTTGAAATTTTAAATTTAAGCGTTTATACTAAGTTTTAATTTATACAGCAAATGCTGATAATGAAATTGTTACACAGAAAAAGACAAAAAATGACAAGCAAAATTATATGAATTTAAAAATTAATTAAAAAATAAGAAATCGTAAAACTTTGCTTCAATAAAAAGATTAATTAATATTATCTTATTACATTTTAAGAAGAAATGAAGAAAAAAAAATAATTAGCATTTAGTTTAGATTTAGTTAAGCTTTGCTAAAAGTTAATGAATTTTGAAATCCGATATTAAGTATATTAAATATAAAAATAACAATTTTATTATACCAATTTAAAAATTTCATTATAAACTATAACTACAAAAAGAGAAATCTGTTTATAGCAATTACTGTAAAGTAAATCTTGATATATCTATTTTAATGCATAAACGAAAAAGTTCAAAATACTTAAAAGATGCAAATATCTCAAAAATTTATATATTATAAAATAAAAAAATTAATAATCTCTAAACCACCGATTGTGATTGCGTTTAATTTAAATGAAAGCAAATACAATATTTGCCTAAATTTATTTAAACTAAATTATTAAAATTTAAAAACAAACACATTAAACATAAAAATTTCATAATTACTTAAAAAACATTAAAGTTCGAATTATAATTTTTACTATAAAAAAAAAAACAAACTTATATATAAAGTTCGAAATATTAAGTTTGTAATTATGTAAAATAATATATTTTATTTACAAAAAAAAAAGAACTTATGCAGATAATTTGAAAAAAAGGATATAACTGTTTTAAATGCTGCAAAAGAATATGCTATGCATTATGATATGAATCAATTATACTATTTGAGAAATAGTTTATTTAAGTATTTTTATTTTTAATTTTTAAACTTGCTAATTAATACAAACTGGTGTAGAAGGTTGGAGCAAAGAAATATGCTTGCTTGCATATCTTTTTTCTATAACAATATTACTAAATTATATAGTAAACACTGTGCATATATAATAAATATCAAACGTAATGCTCTCTTCCTTGTAAAATATAGTGTTTGCTAGATTTGCATATATTTTTATTTAGCAACAATATTGTTATGCAGTATTTTTTGTATTGATTTGTAAGCGTAAGCGTAAACAAATTAAGCATGTTCTCTGTATATGCTTGTTCATATATATTATATCTCCTAGACTGACTTGCCATTCTAGTGTATACTTGCTTTGTACCATATTATGAAAAATCATGTCCACATAAACATTAAACTCGATTATTAAATAAAAAAAATGTTTTTTTCAATATTTAAGTAAATTGCGTCAACGATTTTATGTGCTACCCCACATATGCTAACACAACATCTATTCAAAACACACATTATTAAGTAAAATGATCACCAGAATTAATTTTAGTTACTAATTAATTAGTTAAATTAATCATTTTTTTTTCCTGTAATTAAAATTATAACAATTCTCCAGTACTTTAGAAACTAACGCATACAACAACAAACAAATAAAACACATTTAAACTATTTAAAAGTAATATCCCAAATTGCTCATTCTATTTTTACTTAAATTAACGAATTTACTTAAAACAAGTATACATATAATAATACTTTTTAACATATATGTTTGTATGTCGTACCTAACAAAATCTTATAAAATACATACTATTATAATTATAATACTAAGTTTTCTCTCCTAAAATTTTTTGCATCAACTTTTTAATTTGTTTAAGTTTTAGTATTAGTATTTAAATATGATAATTTTTTTAATTGAGTATTATAGCAGTTATTTAAGCCGTACATATATATATATACATATGTATAGTAAAATTATCGTAATATACATATATACATTTAATATTATAAAACATACACGTATCAAATATCTAATAATTTTGTAATTGTACTTAAGTGTTTCTAATACTTAATTTGATATTTCTTATTATAAATTGTAACTCGTTAATTTCTTGCTATTTGCTCAAACTGTTATCTATTATTACTCTTCAAATGGTATATGAAACTACCAAAAATGTATATCTTTTCTTTGTCAATAAATTACTATATTAGCTGTGTGTGTAAATATTAGGTAGATTTGAAAGTAGTTACTTTTTAGTTAATATAACTTTAAAATTTTATAAACCTTATTCTAAACATATTCCATTATATTCCATAATCCAATTTTATTCAAATATTTTTATTTTAATTTCGTTCTGATATTAACTAATTTTCTAAAATATTTAACCTTATTATTTTTTCATGTTATTCTTATTAAATTGTTTCGCAATGATTAAATCGAACTATTGTTTCCATTTGGTTATACCCAAACTATATTTAATACTTTAAAAATTTATTTAATTAATAAATGAAAATAGAGAAGAAACTGCCACCCTACAAAAATCCGATGGTTCACCACGTTTTTTTAGCATTAAATTTTTATCTTTTTACTTTCAAGGTGACTTTCATTAAGTGTCCAACCAATTTCTTCGCAATCGTTTCGTTAACCGAATCACTTGACGCATCTTCCTCATCGCTATTTTCGATATTTATACATGAGCAGAAAATGTAACAAACGCTAGTTCATCATACTTAAAGCATATAGCTAGATACTTATTGTATTAGCTCTTTAACCAACAAAGTGGTTTCACGTTCTTGTTGGTTAATAAATAATATGTGACTCTCTTTGGCCAAATAACCGTTCCAAAAATAAAACCACGCTTTGCATTGTCTTAATTATCTTCTCAATTTATAAATGTACACAACTCTCTGCCGCTAAGCTCTTGAATAGTTCTCGGCAGACAATTTTTATCCTTTCACTTTCAAGGTGAGTTTCATCGCTATTTTCCATAATTATACATGAGCAGAAAATGTAACAAACGCCAAGTCATCATACTTATCATAAAGCATATGGCTAGATGCTATTGTGTATTAGCTCTTTAGCCAACAAAGTGTTTTCAATTTTTTGTTGGTTAATAAATAATATGTGATTCTCTATAACCGAACATGTTCTTCAATTGAACAAAAGATCATATTTCTCCAAGGGTTTTATTTTAAATGTTGAATGAAATGCACGTCTGCCAATGTTTATTGAGAAAAATGTTTAAATTTAAAACAAAAACTTGTGTCAACCAGTTGTTATATTCAAAGACAAGACAATGATATTATTTAACTTCAGAAATAAGAAACTTTTATTTATGCAATCTTGTATAGATTTGCAAGAATGAAAGTTATTTGCTTGCTATAAAGTACATAGTACATGATTTATTTAGATAAAAGCATTGAGTTACATTCCAAATAAACACACTAAGGTAATTTTAAAGAAAAATATCATCGCATCATACTGCTTGATTAAAGCCCCTTGTTATGCATCATCTGAAAGCATTAACCAAAAATGTTCTCAACCATATAAAAGCAGGGATTTTTATATAAAAGATAAACTGGGAAGTAGTAAGTCAACAAAATTTGATGACAAAGCGATGTAAAACCTTTTAAGGCAATTAAAGAAAAATGCAATAATAACTTACAGGGTGCGTTGTTGTCAGAATGCTATTTTAACGTATGTCGAAGGATACCGTTAATTACTTGACAGACCCAATACCGAATATTTTAACAAAAATTTTTTTTATAATTTTTTTTATTAGTTTTTTTTCTTAATCTCTTATATATTTTTCATTTAAATCTATATTTAATTTATTGTGTTTTTTTGGGAAAGTTTTCTTAGTATTACATCATGATATTATTGTTTTGCTTACATTATTTAGTACTAATATCATTTTTAGCAATATAAAATTCTTTTTATAATTTATATTTTATTTTTTTTTTGTTATTGTTTATTTTTATGGTTAATATTGTTTTAAATTTGTTGTTTTTTATGATTAATATTTTTTTATATTAAAGTATAATTCCGTAATATCAATACAATTAAAAACTTTTATAACACATGTTTATAATATTTTAATTTTGATTTATATAAAAACATTTCAATAAAGTCTTCTTTCTTTTTTTTTTTGTTTGGTCACAAAATAATTAATATATAAAAACATTTCCCAAAAATTTAACATTTAAATAAAATTTTAAAAATTTATACTATTTTCATAAAAATTATATTTATTTTTATAAATAATTTCTGTTTTTTATTTTTATTTCAATTTGAATTTAAAAATTAATAAATTATATACTTTTATTATTGTAAAATAATTTCTATATATTTCACAAATAAAATTATTTTAATATTATTCATTTTTATATTTATTTTTTTACTATATCTTATTTTTGTTAATTAATTTTTGCTATAATATTTTAAAATTTTAGTTTTTTATGTTTATTTTTTAATCACTTTATTTTTCATTTCATTTGATTTCGTTTTATTAATGAACTTTATTAATTATTATTATTTTATTTTATATCTTATTTTACAATAAACGCTGATAAAATATAACTCTGAGAAATTAGAATGTGTATTACAACCTGATATTGAATATGAACTAAAGGTTCTAATTTCAAAAAATTTTCTTCAGTTTTTTTTTTGGTAACGTTGAAGATAAAACTGGGAATCACACTACTCGTTTCGAATGCTTTTCGAAAGCATTAATAACCTTATTATATTGCAAAAGGAGTGAGTAGGTACTTTTAAATTTACTATTATCTTAGATTCGTTTCTTAATTTATATTTTTTTAAAGAATTGAGACACTAAAAACTCAAGCCATATGATAATTTTTATTTACAATATTTTTTCATAATAGTTAGTTAGTGGAAAAAAAATTAGTTTTAATATGCAGATTAGTTTTTATATCTGCTTAAAGTAAATTTATCAAATAACTGTATTTTCAACTTTCAACAACTAATTATGTGATTATTATGTTGTTAAAAATAATAAAAAAATAACATATGGTTTCTTTCTTTCTTAAATATTTATGTACCGTTATCAGCATAGTATCGTCCGCACCTTTCTAAACGATTTGTTACAGTGGTTGCAAATGTATGTTATATAGAAATATAATACATTTCTAATACTATATAATGTTCCCGAAGTCAATAGTCTGCTCCATATTATCAATGCAGAGAACTGTTAGGAATATCTGACGAGAGATATTCATGAGATATGCAA